GGACGCGAGTGCCCCGCGGAGGGGACGCCGGGCACCTTAGAAAGCTCGTCTATGAGGTTCTGCTGCTCCACAATTTGAAGTTTCAAGAAGTCAACTTCTCTTTCGTCTTGACTTTGATCCAGGTCGTTTAAGGAGCTGGGTCTCCTTATGATCCCGGCTCTTTGTCTCTGCAAAGCCAAGCAGACCGCGGGGGTGGATGAGGGGTCGACCGGGAGATGGGGGTACGGGGTCTTCTTTGCCAGCGGGCACGCGCAGCCCGTCTGCTGGGGGGCAGGGGCCCCTCTGCTCGGGCCTCGGGGCAGCGGGCTGCAGGGCCCTGGGGACACGTGCGGGGCGAGTCTGCACCCCAGGACGCGGCGGCTTGAGCGGCCTGCCATCCCTCACCCGTCGCCTCTTCCCAGCTCAGCGCGGGAAGAAGGCATTTCTGCAGCCGGGTGCTGAGGACACCCCACTCCCGAACATCGTACTGAGTAATTACTCTTTGGCTAAACTCTCGCCCGCGGCCTCTGGGGCCTTTGGCACGGAAGGGACGCAGGAGACACCCCCTAACCATCCCACACTCCGTGGATGTGCAGGAGTGAGCCTCCCCCAACGCGGGGTCTGCGGGGTGCTGCTCGGCCGACTCCTTCCCCTCCACGCAGGCGTTCTGGGACTCTCCCCATCTGTGCCCGAGAGTTTTCAGAGTGAGAACAGGCGCAGTCCAAGGTCCTCGTGTTACACCCGGCAGCAGGCCTGGGGCTGGGGCGGGACTTGCTCAGTGACCTCCCTGCCGGGTTCCCCCAGGCGGCGCCCAGGACCGCTCCCCAGCAGTGCTCGGACCCTCCTCTCGCAGCCAGCAGGCCTGGGCCGGGTCCTGGCCCCACAGCGTATGTGAGGCCCAAGGCCCGAGGCCCGCGGGGATCTTGGTATCCAGCCTTGCTCGCTGTGAGCAGTGGGGGGAGCTAGCTGCTGGTGAGCTCTCGAGCAATCCCGCTGGCCTGACGGACCAGTCAGGGCCCCTTACCATTTCTATGTTCTCCTGCGTGACAAATTTTAGCTTGTTTTCCATCCGACGCAAAGTGTGGGACAGATCTTCATTCTTCCGAGTGAGACGCTTGTTTTTATCCAACAACGGTTTGTATTGACTCTCAGCTTCTCTTAAGCGCTTTAACTGAAAGACACGACACGATTTTAAGTGTGACATGGGACCAACAGTCCCTGAACAGAGTCGGCAGACCGACCAGAATACGCTTTGGCCACAGTGGAGGGAAACGGTCCGGGGCCAAGGCTCTATTTTGCCAATTAGAGCTGCAGTAAACTCCCCCGCCCGTGACCCCTCGGGGCTCTTGGAGAAGCTCACCCTCAGACACAATCACCC